GAGAATAGAAAAGGTTGTTTTGTACAGATGACTAAGTTTTCACTATTGTGTGACCTTGGGACATCGGTTATTTCTTGGTTGTTTTTTTTTTAACCCATTAGAGGAAACTACTCAAAGAGTCAGCTGTCCAAGATATATGACGTTGACTTGGCTTTTCCTGTACATGAATTTCTGGGAAAGGCAGTTTCTGAGTTCCACTCCTCCAGATGAACACATTTCTCTCTTTGCAAATCATTGCTGCTTTAGCAGATGGAAAATGCAATATATCTTCCAGGCCCCCACCCATACCACAAAACTAACAAATATACTCAGCCTGGAAGGTGTAATTTTGAGATCATAGAGGCAGAGAACATTGTAGACGATGTATTTCTTGGATCCCAAAGGAAAATCTTATTTCTTCTCTTTTAAAAAAAAAAGTCACAAATATGACCAAAACTCTAGACTCTCAAATGCCTACTGTTTGACATTGTACCTTGACATTGCTAACTACACAGTTCACACCTGAGAGTTATACAAATGCATTACAAAAATATCAGAGGGCCTGGGGAGATGGCCCTGTGGTTGAGGGTACTTGCTGCTTTTTCAGAGAAACCTGGGTTTGGGTCCCAGCACTCAAGCAGCTCACAACTTCCTGTAACTCCAGCTTTGGGGGATCCAACACCCTCTTGTAGTCTCCATGGTGACTGGCACACATTCACATAAACATGCACACATACATATAACTAAAAATCTAAGAATAAATCTTCGTAAAAAATAATCACACACACACACAAATTCCCTTATGTTTTCAGTAAATTTGTGGTTTTGTGTTAGGCCACATTCACCACTGTTCTCGGCTACATGGGGCCCCAGGTCTGTACATAACAACCCTGCCAAAGTGGTACCAGAGCTGTGAGTCTATTGGAAAGGGAAAATTGGAAAATAAACCCAAGATACTGCCATCAGCCTAAGAAATTGCACGGTGGGACTTAACATGTAATGAAATATGCATTTCCCATCCCCCCCCCAAATTTGATGGATGACTGGAGAAAAGCAGACATTCACACTTGACTCTCCATGAGATAAATGGATGCCATTTTCTATAGTTAAATTGAACCTTAAGTTATTAGTGGACTAAGTATGTCAAACAAGCTCTTTAAAGTTAGAGGGTCTAGAGAAGTAGCCCAGTAGGCAAAGTGGTAGCCCTGGGCTCCAATCCTGATACTGCATGAACTGGCCACATCAGCACATTCCTCTGAGCTCAACACTCAGGAGGTAGACACAGGAGGATCAGAAGCCTAAAGTTATCCTCAGCTACCCAAGGAGTTCGAGGCCAGCCTGGGATGCATGTGGCCACGTCTCAAATTCATTCATTCATTCATTCATTCATTCATTTTAAACATCAGAATTTTTTTTTTTTTTTTTTTAAAGAGGTTTTTTTCTAAAGCTCTGGGAAGGTAGGCAGAGTAAGGAAAGAAAAAACTTTAAAAGTTAACCAAACTCTTTTATCCAAGTATGAGAGAACAGCGTGTCTACTTCCCTCTCCCTCCGGTGGGCAGATGCCAGCCCTTATCACCCAAAGAGCTACAGAGTCAGTG